AACAATGCAATAAAGAAATTGGTTAATTTTTGTTCTTGGGACTGCATATAATTAAAGGGCATTTTAACAGTGAGCGTAAACAAAAATTTTTTGAAAAATATTTTGTACCGTTTACTGTTGTAAATTGTAAAATGTTCAGCGAGTTAATTTAAGGAGATGAATTTTTTTGGTGCATCAATTAAGCAAATTTAATTTTGATGCGACACCTTCGTGCGACATTTGTTGACAAACATGACCTACCTGTTGGTGTCAGGAGGGAAGAATTGTGCAGACGTGTTAAGTGACATAGTTCTTTAATTTTTTCTTTTCGTTCTTGCGCTAATCAATTTATTTGCTCGGAACAACGCATTATTGTTGAATGTGCGGCGCTTAATATTGTTGGATTCTCATTGGATTGAGAATTATCCCTGGTATATCAAGGTTATTTCTTACAGTTAACGGTACTCACGAAGGCCCTTCTTAAGATTTAGAATAGTGCCAGTGTATGTAGATTTAAATGTTCACTGGTACGCTTTAATGTCCCTCACCCACATCTTTGATCGCTAATTCCGTTACTTGTTAATGCACGTGTACGGAATAATATTAGCTCGGTTGTTGAGCGACGTGACTGCTTGGGAACGCGGACTTCAGGCGGCAAAAACTACGAAGCCGTGGCTGTGTGCAGCAAAATTATCTTGCCGGTGCATTAGAACAATAAGCGTCGACCAACCAAAATATGCACCAAATATCCTTGCAAGCATATAAGCCAGACCTGACGTGATCTTCTGAAGGTCTTTAGTTCCGAAAATAAGTTTTTTTTTTGTCACGAGTATGCCGCCTTCATGGCGGTCTACTCGTGCTGTTTAGACTCACCGTTTAGAAGTGCTGTTTTTGTCTCAACATCTGGTAAAAACTTAAATTTGATATCTTGTCCTCGTGCATACTATATGAGGCTCGTTCGTTTCCACACTGATCGTGATGTGGTTGCACGAATCTTCGATCATCCATGAAGACGTACGTGTTGCTGCACGCATTCCTGATCATAAATAAGACGTGTAATAATAATTATATAAAATAATAATAACATAGCGGTTTCAGCATTTAATAGGCTTGAGGCCTGTCACCGATTCTTAACATTGCAGAACACCCACAGCTTGTTGCGGGCTTGAACGCGCAACTCACTGCTACAATTCTGCTGTGCTTCGCCGGTCTCCTTGCCGATTCTGACCAGAAACTGGCGCACAGAGCTGGAGGCTCGAACCCGCGCCTCTCTGCGCCAATCTTGGTACTCTGAACTTTAACCACTGGGCCACCACTCGTTTTAACACCTTAACCCACTGGGCCACCACACGTTTTAACACGTTAACCCACTGGGCCACCACACGTTTTAACACGTTAACCCACTGGGCCACCATACGTTTTAACACGTTAATTAACCCACTGGGCCACCACAGGTTTTAACACCTTAACCCACTGGGCCACCACACGTTTTAACACGTTAACCCACTGGGCCACCACACGTTTTAACACCTTAACCCACTGGGCCACCACACGTTTTAACACGTTAACCCACTGCATGGGCCACCACACGTTTTAACACCTTAACCCACTGGGCCACCACGCGTTTTCAATCAGAAATAAGACCTGCATGTGGCTGTACGCATTTTAATCACATTTAAGATATGTGGGTGCACCCATTTTGATCATATATAAGAATTGTGGCTACACTCATTTGGATCGTATATTATGTGTGTGGCTGTTTGAATTTTTAATCACATATGAGACTCGTGCATGGCTACACTCAATTCTTGTCATGTACAAGAGTTGTGGCTGCACGCATTTTGATCACATATATGAATTGTGGCCGTACGCATTTTTATGATATACAAGACGTGGGCTGCGAGCGTCGGAAACGATCCAGCAAAGTGAGGTCAGGACGGCAATATGAGACTGGCTAAATCACGGAAGCGGATGCCGCAGTTCTTCCAGGTCTTTCCGGGGCTGATGCACGTTCAAGTTCTTGCATGCGTGTTGATCATCATCATCATGCGTGTTGTACAGATCATCAAGTTTTTGATAGCGTCTAGTCTACCATGTTCAATTTAATTTTTTTTGCAACATACTTCTGAAAATCAAAAGAGGTCGAAGTCAAAGTCAACCAAGCCTACAGATTCGGTTTACTGCTTGTACGATCAACTAGTCATTAAATGGTCATTTTTTAGTCTTATTTTCCGTAAGTTTAAATCTGTATGATGGCCCTCTTGACAATAATGTCCTCCATAATTAAAAAAGCTGTTCGATAATTATGATCCAAGTTTTTGCACAATGATTCATATTTCACTATATCGAATTAACTTGCCGAGAAAAACGAGTCATCATCAAATGGTAAATGATAAAAATCACTCGAGAACTTTCAAAAGTTTTGCCGCGCCGCCGGTACCATAAATAATGCTACACGAAGCTCAGAAAACTGTTATTTCTGCAATTTCAATTGGATAAAATTTAATGTTTCAAAAATTATCTCCTAATAGGGATTTCCCCGAGAAATTTTGTCTGATGTAGAACCCGTTTTGAATCTGAACGCAACGCAACAAAGCCGCAATTATTCAGTTATTCTGGTGGTAGGCAATCTGCTGGTTCAAGTTTTGCCACCGAACGTTTCTTCTGTGCCTGTATGACGTCACTGGTATTGTATATTACATAACAGCTGCATTTGCTGATGAGATTGTTTAAAACAAATATCCACAAACTTAGTGCTCTGGAGCCACCACCATCTGGAGCCAAGGCTTAGACTATAGATGGAGATTAAAGATGTAAAATTCCGGTTTTCTGACAGCCATTTAGGGCTAATTCACGGTCAGAACATCAAACGCGTTTTACAACCGTTTCAAATTTTTAAGTGCCTTCAAGTAGATAATTCGGGCTATTTTTTCTAAAAAAATAACTATTTGCTGGGCATTTTCCAGCGAGTCCTCAATGAAGTTCAAATTATCTTTCTATAAGAAATGCTGCTGCTCATGAGCATTGTCGTTAGCCATGAAAGCTGACTATATTCAGAGCTAATGGATTCATTTGCAAGGATATTACATGTAATATTTGATACAATACCGTAAAATATATACAATTAACAGAAGTTTACTGTATAATGGTGTAGGCTTGCTATTCAGAGCCAATGGACTTATGTTTAATGTATATTACATACACTATTTATAGTTCCAAAAGAGACATATATGATATAGTTAACAACAATCTAATGCGAACAGTCATTTTATTAGATGGCTTCGTCGGTCTTTCCCTTGGGTTTCTGCACACTTCATCGAACAATGAGAACTTCTGTCGATTGAGCGATGAGTTATTTTACATATTATATTATTCCATTTATATATACCTGTTACATTATTCTATATTCCGCCACGAAGTGCTAGGTTCACAGTTACAGCGACGCTGAAGCTTATCACTGAAGGTCAACCACGCAGTCCATCTCAAACAACTGCACAATCCTATAGTCACTTCAGGAACGGGGAATCGTCCAAATACCGCATTCTTTGCTAAAAACCACTTCGCCATTTTATTATGTGTGCTAAGCTTTCCACTAATGTTTTCCGCAGTTGTAAAAATCTCATGTGTCTTTTTTCGAAAAAAAATGTCTGCTCATAACAGTGTGCGTGTGAAATGCTTTAAAATCTTTGTTAAGCCCAAAAGTTTTATATGATAAATAATTTTTCTTTTGCGAATAACAATGATTGGCAAAGGATTTATTTGAATTTTACAGTTTAACAATGATATTTTACAGTCCGAAATCAGTCTAAATTATGTTCAAGCTTGATGTTAATAACCGCGATATTTTCAACTGGTGCCGGATAAAATTTTACGATTTATTTGCCGTAATTACACTCATGATCAAGGAATGCCTATTTAAATGAATTAGTAAGAGAGAGAGAGAGAGAGAGAGAGCTATTCAAGTCAAATCGATCCAAAGTAAACGTAAACGAAGTGGTTGAAACTTCATTTGAACATGTCATTTGTTACGCTCCCAAATGCATATACTGCATCAAATAATGCGGTATTCGTATATAATATTCATCACTATTACGGTATTTAATATTTATCACTATATACACTATAAATAATAAACTATCGGATAAAATTGATTGTAAATTCATAAACAAAAGTAGTGACGAATAAGAGCAATTATACAAATGAATATAGTAATGACTTTTTAATGTTATTTTTAAAAACAACTGTAACATATAAGAAACGAGATATGTGTGGCAGTGAGCTTTAATTTTTTATTCTTTATAATTGAGTTGTCAAGAAGCGCTTTATTACTTTTTTACTATACTTTTATTACTGTCATTCGTTCGTAGGATCTTAATAGAATCATCCAATATTTATGTAGGATCCTACCAAATGTAGACTCAGCAGCGAGAGCAAAAAATGTCGTTCCCTACGACGTGCACAACAACTTTTTTTTATAACAAAGATATAATCTTTTTAGTTAAAAGGGGAGGTACCTGAGTTAGTGAGGCCTACGTGGTGTTCATTCACGTTTAGTGCTGAGTTTCGAGGACTGGATAAGTTGTCCGTCCGTGCCCGAGGTAAGCATTGTTCATCTGGCTGGCGAGTGTAAAACATCATCTACTTTGCGTGCGAGCGCAAGTCGAGTAGCGTTGTTGTGTTCGATGAACGTTATATTTCCCGCTACCATTTATAGTTGAAAATTTTCATTACTTTTCATTATTCATTACTAATTACTCATTAATTTTCATTACTTGTTACTTTTCATTACTTTTCGTTTCATTACTTTAGATTCAATTGTCATTTTTACTTCTCTCGTAAAGCTTAGTATATATAATGCTTAAATATCTTAATTTCTTCCTCTCTTTCTAAATGAAAATATTTGAAAACTGGTGTTTTAATCTTGGCCATATATATTATGCGCAATATATGTACTCACTTCAGTCCATTTCGTGTTGTTTCACCAAGTAATTTGAAATTTAAGTAATTTCCATTCCCCTTCAGTGATAAATTTGCAAAATTCTAGTTTGAATTCCAACCCTATTCTGAAAAATTATTCGTGAGAATCGTTTGAGAAAAATTACGTGGTGCTTCCTTTCGCCAATTAAACTTCATTTAAATAGCATGAATGATTTAATGCGACTTAAAATTCTCACTGCTATTTTGCTTCTATTCGACCATTTGATCACTATACTTCGTGTGTGTTTCCAAAAGCAGGCTTCTCCGTCCGACTCCTTTGAAGTGCGTGACATTTTTATCTACAATTGATCCTCTGCATCTGTTACAAGATAATCTGTTGCTAGATCATCTGTTAGACTATCAACAATTTTATCTGAGGAACAATGGAACCAAGGGATAAGAGACGTACGGGAGATTATGGATCCATGGAAGATCCAAATTATCAGGTGAGAAACGAGGCCTATCCATGTTAGGCCTTCTCAGGTTGTGAACTGTCCCGAGCTATCATTTTAAGCTAGGAAATATACTTATATTTTTTTGAATTAGTTTACAACTAAAAAGGTTTTTGAATTGCAAACTTCATGAAGGGAAAATAATTTATAAATTAGCTTGCCAGATGTTACTAGACGTTTGTCTCAACGGAGAGTGCCGTTCGTCTTCAGAAAGGTGGTGCTACGGGAAGACATCAGATTATATCGGAAACTAGTTAAACATTTTAGATAACAAGTGAGAGTTTTATCTGTGATGCTATATGCATATGCTTGGAATGCATGGAATGTACATCTTCTGTGAACAAGGCACGAAAAGGAAAAGAATCGGTGACAGGCCGCATCAGGCCTACACTTCAGCGCCGAGATCACTATGTTATGTTATGTTATGTACGGTAGCATGTTGTGCATACCTGTACCCGAAATTCAGTTTCATACAATGAATAGCTTCATACGATGTACGGAAGTATGCTCCGCACAGCTGTACTGGAATAAGGCTCATAGCTTGACTCAGGATATGAAGCTAACTCTTTATTTTACCGCCACCTTCCAAGCAACTTGACAGAACAAACGCTCTTGTCTAGAAGCTCATTCCTGCGGTCACTGAGTCAATGACCATCACAGTCAATCATTAGGTGCTTCATGTGCGGTGCTTGCCGGCGTTTCCACTGTTGCTAGTTCACATGAGCAAGAACTAAATTTTTTTTGTGATTTTAGTAATGCTTTGAATCTTAGAAATACTCGTTTTTCATGTGATGAATAGCGTAAGCTTCGCGAATATCATTAGTCCAAGTCGTAGCTTGTGTAACGAAACTTTTCAAGTGCCTCGAACGTCTTGATAAAATAAACTCAAGTTGTGTACCAAAACATCACATACATAGCTAAAAAATTGAAATAAAATACTGATAAGGTTGTCCAACCTCTAGTTCTTTTGTGATCAAAAGCTGTCGCTCAAAGTTCAAATCATATTCATGAGCTTCTTGTTACGGATAGGGTCAAACAAGAGTTACAAACGAGTATCCTTTTTTCTGTCATTCTATATAATTCTGATGATTTTGTCGAATGCATTCATACTCATACTAAAACAAAATTTCATGTTTAATGGTTCATAACCACATGAAAATAATATTTTAATTCATATTTACGAATAATTACGTAATCAAAATGCATTGAAATAATATTGTAATGCATTGAACAAATAATTGATTATCTAGAACAAACGAACACATGAAGTGAACCTCATCCAGCATGGCGGCTAAATGATCCGCTTGTACAGAACGTTCTTTAATTAAGCATGGCGGATAAATGATCCGCTTGTAGAAAACGTTCCTTAAACATGGCGGATAAATGATTTACTTGTACAGAACGTTCCTATAAGGACGTCGAGGTGTGCAGCGGCGGCGGCCGTTGCACCGTCCCACGAGGAAGTGCCGTACATCTAACAGTACAGTGCATGTAACTGTGAAAATCAAGGCCAGTAACTCGACTAAACAAAAGCTGTACTTCAACGAACGATCGTGTTTCTCACGATATAGTTTCGGTACGCTAACTTTTCAGTATTTCATTGTGTAAAAGAGAGTTAAGTTTATCCATGAGAGTTAAGTTTATCCAGCAATGCTACAGTATATACTAGTTTATGTTGTAGAGTAATTTTAAACTTGAATTTCTTCCTTGCGACTAATTGAAAGTTTTTCTATTGTTTTCTATCTAAATTATTCGTGTTTAATTGAAGTGATTTGTTAAATTGTTATGTACTGGAATGATTCGTGGTGAATTGCAATGATGCATGCGTTCGGAACTGCAATGATTCCTAGAAAGCTATAGCGATTCACGGAAAACTGTTATATGATTCGTAGGGACTGTAATGAATCGTAGTGAACTGTTATGATTCGCGGTGGAGTTTTATGATTCGTAGGAACCTGCAATAAACCGCAGTGAACTAAAATGATTCGTTACTGCTTAACGGTTAACAAACGATGGAGATACGAGACGAAACTCCTGATAAAAAAACACTAATAATGATTTTCTGATTATGTAATTCCTCTCGAGTTCAATCGATTAGCCTTTTCCTTTTGAAAAAACGGACGACTTGATCCGATGAATCATAGTGATGGATTTACCTAGATCCTGGTACCACAGATCCTGGTACCACAGATCCTGGTACCACAGATCCTGGTACCATAAATCCTGGTACCACAGATCCTGGTACCACAGATCTAACTATACAGGTGCTAGTCGTAGCCAACACAACTATACAGGTGCTAGTCGCAGGCAACACAATTATACAGATGCACACACTCATAGAAAAATAATATATCTGGAATTGGTTTAGCGTGGAGCCGTATAGAGTGAACAGCATAAACTGGATAAATTTCCAGAATTGTACTTTTTCTACGTATATATAAAAGTTCTCAGGATGTAATTGAAAATGCTAGGACAAAACAAAAATAAATTAGCAAAAATTGAAGATCTCCTACTCAGGTTAGTAATTTGACGGTTAAATAAGATGAATTTATCACTCAAAGCATTTCAGAGGAATGAGTTTCATGTAGTTCCAACAACTGGGTCATTTCCCTATCAATATTTGCTTGAAGTAATCACATGAGTAATATTTAAATTGTTGATGATCTCTTCCCTGTAGAACTCTTATGAAACTCTTCCAATCACGCACTGAATGACGAAACTTGCATGCTTCATTTCCATCGTCTACAAGATTCATTGTTTTTGCTTAGCGTAAAACACGCGTGACGTTCTCGCTCGTGCGCCGCTGCAGCTCTATACTATGCCTGCCTTATTTATTATTCTTTTCAGATAGAAGAGTTCTCTAGAGTCTTCCCGTATTTCTAGTATTTACACAGCGTCAACAAACTTCCTATTACTGTTAGTAATTACCGGAGGCCATTCTCTTACACTGCACTTAATTCGGTCGATGACACTGCACTTAATTCACTGCCGATCAGTAAATAACGTTATCTTCCTGGTCTAGAGTGCGATTTGTTTTGTTCTAAAATTATCTAAGTTTAGCAACTAAATTTAAATGTACCAGATTTTTAAATGTACTAGATAGTACATGACACCTTATAATACATGATGGTACCTACCGAATGGTGATACCAGGGACCTTATAGGGTAGAATACAGTATTTCCTGATAGCCGATGGTACCGACCACCTGATAAATATTGAATACACTATAATTCCTGATGACTGATAATAACTGATACCAGAGAAGCCCTGCTAATCCATTCATTAAAGCAATCCTTCGTGCCGTTATTACAACCTTTTAACTTAAGTTAAGTAAAATAAACAAATATTTTAATTAATTTAATTCATACTAAATTTGAGTGAATTAAAAATAAGGTTAATTATCATTTTTTATATGACTCCCGTTAGGCATCGTCTCGTTGATTCCGTAACATAGATAAAAATTCTGTATACATGGACACCGTTGGCACAGCTCCCATGCAACTTTAATACATGCACATTTTAGTGCGAATAATTCAAGCACTCTTGTGACAGCTTATAAATAGTGAATGGCGTTAATTTAGAAGGGGCGGCGACAGAAAAACTCGCCAGTGGTTGTAACGTTTCCAATAATGCGTGAGTAAGCGATGGATTTTCTTTAAAAAATTATAGATTCTTTCCGTTCATCGACTAGAAAAGTTGAAATTAAAATTCTTCCAACAACTTCTATTTTAAAAAGTTTCATTCCGTTGCGAAAAAAATTTAAAATAAACTTTTCTTTTATTTTCTTTATCGCTAACCCATTTCATAATTTACAGTACCATAATTTTCAGCATAAACAGAGGCGCATAGCAAAAATAAAATAATGGATGAAATCTCTCTTACATTGTTGTTTTTACTCGATCTCCAAAGTTCGCAAAGAATTCAACGTGGAAACGTAGGAAAAAAATCGATAAATTAAGTTTGTTCTGCTTGACCACGCAGAAAGAGACGCCTACCGATGCTCTACATATCCTCAGTGTCTTCCTTCTCCGCAAGAGTCGGGAAGTTATGCAGCACTGGTGTAATGGGAGTTGTATAACTTTCAAATTTGTGGTTTATCATCGATCGTGTGTTCTCTCTAAGGGTATGTGTTGCTTGTTTACTTTTTAATTGTTCATAGTTTTGTAATAAGCCACCAATAATTAAATCTTGTCAAATTTACGAATGGTAGTCGAACAATGAATATCGGACACGTAGGTTTTGACCCTTTGGTCTCGGATACATTTAGTGATTTACCGTTGTCAATGATATTCGTACCTAGTGGCTTGGTATACCGACTTGGTAATGGAACTTGAATTTTTAAAAAACTCGAGTCTCGAAGCTTTTCGTAGTATAACACCTTTACGGCAATAACTACCTAATACTTTTTTTTCTGTCGAATTTAACGACTGCTTTTCTACAAGCAACTTTTTTCAGCAACAAGCCAGGTACGGTACCTAAAATAATTGCCGTACCTCTCCCACGTTATAAAATTGCTTCAACTTGATCAACTATAGTCGTACTCTCAAGCCAAGCGGTTATTCGTCAGTTTTCATTTGGTTTTTACTGCACACAATAATTTCAATACGCAATTTCATCCGCGTCATGGGCGCTTCCCTTTAGATGCCGTGCCGGAATTCGTTTTTTAGACCTATTTACTTAAGTGATGCCAGACAACCGTTCGCTCTCCACCTTACAGTGCCCTAAGGACATATTCGTGATGCTTGATGATGCCTCGACCCGTACTGAAAAATTCATTCTTCGGGAACATTAGTACGAGTTTTTTATATGAACATTCTGCCATGTCGCATTGGGAATAAATGTTACACGTGTTTGTTTTGAAAAATTTCACCTCTTTCATGATTTAAACAGGTATTCAAATCACTTTTGTATGTCTTAACTTACTATCGAAGACATGTTAATCACGCAACCAGAGGCCAACAGTCAATTTTCTGCGTTTCGGCAGAGCCTACGGCGAATGTTTCCGGCACGTGCGCTACTGAGACCGAGTATCATTATGATTAATTGTTGCAAGCGACCGCGTGTCGTTCATTCGGCTATGGCTCTTGTACCGATGGTCCTAATTTTATACAAAGAACATAGTCTTGACGCTTTCAAGTCGCTAACTTGAGTTAAGTTCACCCTCCGTTTTAATTCTTCTGATGGAGTCAACTTATGGACCTGTATGTATAACCCAACGAAAGTTTTGTACTGAAGGAACCTTCTCTTGAACTGAACTGAAGTTTTGTACTGAAGGAATGGACCTGAGAATTTATTCAAACTTCACCTGATTGCCTGATTTATTTGTGTTGGTATATCTTACTCGCTCAGCAATTGTACAACGGTTATGGTTTGTGCGAATGTGCATCTCAATGGTTTATTACTTCAAAGTATTAAAATTGGGCTGAAAATTGGACATTCTGGCATTTTAAAATCTTTGTGTATATTCAGACAGAAACTTTACGGGCCACAAGAATTTGAACTTTTCAAGGAAACAATGTCCAGGCCTAATTGTCTTGTTTTGTTTTTTTTTCAAGGAAACAAAAATTACATTCTAAAGGTATTCCGTTAACATCAATAGCATTTATGCTAATTTGCTAATAAAGTTCACGTCAAATCTTGATTAGTCGCGCGTGAAAGTTGAGTTTTCATTGCGAAATTGAAGAGAGGTCGAACAGTTGAATTTTGCTTCATTTAAAAATTTGTATAAGGATCAGGTGCCCCATTAATTTTCAATGACAACCCTTTTATCTCGTGTTAGCACTCTTTGATGGCGTTCAGTTATCCTGATGGCTAGCATTCCTTGGTAGATGTTGTGCCGCATTTCAGCTCTAGGGCCAGGGATATATGTGGCCTCGAGCTTAATGAGCGTTCAGAATGTTGATCCTGAACTAGGCTTGCTAGACCTACAAGTCGGCCTCACTCCTCTGTGTCACACTGTCTCTTGTGAAACTAGTTTACTCCATAATAATTTCACACTGGGTAGAAATTAAGCTTGAATGTTGAGAATTTTAACACGCTCACGTTTTTATTGGTATAAGCAAATAAACAATTAGTGACGTAGTGCCATTTAAATATTTTTTACCCCATAGTCTGAGTACGGCTAACAGAAAAGTGGATCGACTCCGACCTAAATTTCTCTCAAAAATTTAGGTTAAAGACGGCACATGTGATGCCAAGGCCGACTTGGTCAGGGCCAACTTGCTACATCTGTGTAGTTTGTTAGAGATTTTCGGGTGCTAGCTTCATCTCGACTGGAGTTCTTTATTTTACTTACCTCTCTCAGCTCTATGTGATAAATCTAAGAAAACAAGTATTTATGCTTCGTCTGTCATTCATGAAAGTTTCAAATTTGACTACTGTATGTAATTTGACAGTTGATTCAAAATTTGATAATACCGTCTTTATATACATATATACACAAATATAATTACTCGGTAAATCATTACGATAAGGCTGATGAAATTATTTCGACTTATAGTAACATGCGTTTCGATCGATTTTTGTTGATCAATGTAGTTAAACAGATCTATAAAGATATTGAGGCCTATTGACCTCGATTGGTACACTGAGGTGACAACGATATTTAGATTAAGTGGCATTAAAGAGTCGAGAGAATACTGGTGAAAGTCAAACGAAGAGCGAGTGGCTCTTGCTGGTTGCTAGCCCTAGGCATGCAGCACTACTTTGGTCTGTAGCTGTAGCAGCCTCACCTCTCACTTTTAGTCTGGCCAAGAGAAAGGGTTAGGGGAGGGAGAACTTGCCCCTATATGCCTCCCCTCGGCCCAGGGAAGTTGCAAGATGCGCAACGCATACTGGTTAACCTGAAAGCCACTTCGTACCGGAGGAGGAGCACCTCAAGATCCTACTCCTCCTACATGGCGCTGGCCGAGACGTTCAGTTCACGAATACAAGTGCTTGATGCCGGTTGCTCAGTGACGGTCTTGCAACAGTTTCGACTCGTGACTATGGTTGCTTCAGCGAACAAACTTCTTTTATTGATTCCCTGATAGGCTTGGTCTAGAACACGACCGATTTAACACTTTTTAGAATTCAGTGCATTATTGTCATTTGAGAACAAATTTCGGATTGACGTAAAACTATAATTTGTTTGTCTGGATATCTCATCAGGTTCCGACAATGGAGTCCATTGACAACAGCGAGATATCGGAATGGTATCGGGACAAGACAGTGTTCCTAACCGGGGGCACGGGTTTCATGGGCAAAGTGCTAGTGGAAAAACTACTAAGATCTTGTCCCGTCAAGAAGATATTTCTTCTCATGAGACCCAAGGCAAATAACGACATCAACCAACGTATCGACGACATGCTCAACTATAAGGTAAGTCTTGTATTAAACCTATATTTATCTACCAATTCCAATTGCGTTTGTTTCATGTTTGTTGCTTACCAATTGCGTTTGTATCATCCGCGATTTTCATTGGCCTCTATATTTCGTCATCTTGTATTTCTATCGCAACGAAACGATTTATAGTTATTTACTGTGGATTAATCGATCGTAATCTAATGCTAGAGGTTATATTTGTGTCTTTTCATACCTAATCTCTCTTGTGGTTTAGGAAAGAATTTGAGTGACAAAAATGTTATCTCGCTGCAATATTTTCTAGGTCTATTTGCGCGCATAATAAACGCCACTTCATTCTCTCCAGCTTGACATCGATCGGCGTCACTTTATTTGTTTTGATTTCCACTTCTGAAACTTGGTATATATACAAATTACATTTTTTTTCTTGCCAATAATATGAAAAAAAAATATTATTTATCCACTATAACCTATGTTTTTGGTGCCGTTGAAACCTTCTTAACGAATGATTCTAATAATAAGTTAAGTATCGTTGAAAACGATAGGTATCATTAATACATGAAAGTATCGTAGAAGAGCAGCCAAAATTTCATAGATTTTCGTTTCTGAAGAAACCTGTAAACCTCCTTGATTTACTCATATTTGAATGTAGCAAAATGTGTAATGGACTCACTCAGTCGTGAGTGCGTTGAAGTCGCAAGTTCTTCGGCAGTAATGGAGTTTTAAATCGTAAGCTCTGTTTTCTGATGGGACCTTGAGCTGGTAAAGGTTTTTGTATTCTAGTGGTTGTGAAGGTTTGTTCCTCGGCCGCAACATAATTTACTCAGCCCAGCGAAAGCGTGCGTGTTGCTACCTGGAGCTCTTAATTAACTTGCGCTTTTCAGCCCAAAACTTTTTCCATTGTCTTAAGTCATAAAAAGCTATGAGCTCATAGTATTTCTTTGTGTTGTTTTCAGTTTTCGGACCGAAAAGACAATAAATGAGAAGTGAGATTTTTTTAATGAAATTTTCATCTGTATCTGGTTCTACTTTTTTAATTTTAAAATTACTCGGGTATGCATTAAATGGAGTCGAATTGCTAATGTATAATAATTCAAACAATATTATATCATGCAACAAAACATTGTAGGCCTCTCACATACTTAATGCTGTGTGTCTTAACGAAAATACTCGAGCGTTTTCCATCTACGAGCTAAAAATCGGCCCTTATTCGTCGATGATTTTCTCCAGAGTGGATTAAATTTTTCTCCTAAATAGATAGCACATGTAAACGTGCAACGTCTCATTGCGACTTAGAAATTTAATGTAACTCGGTTATTTGTGCATGACATTTCTATGAGAAAATCCATAAACAATTTTGGTGTTCAGTGATATTTTTTTGAGCATCAGAGGTCGTTTATAAATATATCAGTAAAAATTCTCTCGGGCTGGAGTACTTCACGTGTGTTGAAACATCGCCAGTACATAAGCGTTATCACTTGCATTCATACGTCGTCGAATGGCAATCGTCTAGCCTATTGTATTGTTCAATGAGTACATACATCACTCGATGTTCGAGTAAGCCAATGAGCGGATCACCGCGACTGAAGATCTCATCTCTCTCCGCTCAATTAAATTCACCGCTTGACCGGTCCCTCGAATTTTGTAACACATTCATTTCCCAATTCCGCCATCCAACGATCACTCTCATCTTCTTCTGACTTGACAATATTCAAGCATAGTTCATTAATTGTTATATCAACATTATACTTACCGCAAAATTGTTAGCATCAATTAGTATAGAAATTACTACACTATCAACCGTCTTACCGTCGTCGGTAATTGGCAAGTCTGTTAGATCGTGAGCGGCCGCTTAGCGATGGACTGCTGGCAACGATGCGTGGACCGTGCGACGCTTCCTTGTCCACATGGCAGCTCGTGACAGTCCATTCAACCAGAGCGCTTACTGCTCGTTGCTCTATTGTTGAAGATAATTCGATACTTAAAATATGGGTAGTATTCTTGTGAGAGCCTTTGTACGGCATTTGTTTGGAGATGCATTTAGTTGTGAAACTGATTTACATCAGAGAAGAGAGATCAAAAAAAGTTATATAAAGCAACGTCAATATAATCGAATTAACTTGGGAGTTTTCAATGTTTTTAAGGTCATCTGATGGTACTACTATTTACTAGTTTATATATTCGTTTTCTTTGATGGCAGTCTCTTTAAACACGATCCTGATATTTGTATTACAGTTAAATCAATTTTTGTTTTTTACGACGGTGATGGTTTTTAGGCTAGCATGGAATGAAATAAATTACAATCGTAGTGCCTCAAAGCTGCCTAACCATCGTTGTATTGGGCTTAATTGATTAGACACGATTGAGTTTGCTAATAAACACTAATAAATTGCTGTGGTCCAATCTTAATTTCAAACATTTCTAGCCACCAAATTTCGAATTTGACCAATGCTGTGCTTGTAAAATGAAAGGTTTTGCCCAAGAATATAAGATCTGATGATAACAGGGCATTTAATAACTAATAACCGAGGAAGTTGTCTAAGCCGTGCAAGTTTGCTGCAAGTGTGCGCGCTAGGCCAGGAGCTAGTGAAAGGCTTGACCTTCTGCTCGCGGCCTCGCGATGGCTCGGCTGCACTCCAAGCTTGTTCAGTGGACGCCAGCCTTAAACCTTCGTTATTGCTACATTGAGCTCAAAATTATATTACTGCGTTACTTTTTTGTTTGACTGTCATGCACTGAATAATGGCTGGAAATAGAGTTTGACCGATGCACCAGAAGATTGTGGGGTATTATTTTGATTGAATAGAGGAGTTCATGAGTGCAAATTTGTAATAACTCTCGTGTAAATTGAAGCGTTATTCATATCTGATGTAAATCTCTAATGGAGGTAATGTTTGATTGACTTATACTTAAGCCTCTTGAGGAACAAGTGAATCGCAACGATGAAACGGATTTGTAAGCCGTTTTCTTTTATTTGAAATAGTCTTATGCCTGACGTATGGTGTATTTCGAAGCATATGCACGGAAAAATAAATTTCATACTAGTTTTAATACCGACACATTATTTTCAGCTTACTTATTGAGATATAATTAAATTCGTGATATCAATGAAGTATTTTCGAATATAAATGCATTCTAATGTGTTGAACTTTCTGCTTTAGTGTACAAAGTAAACTAGATTAACCACGCTAGCAACAATTTTTGCTCAAGGATGGCAGCAGTTCCTTGTTACGTTACATGTTACTCATTCCATGCTGACATTGTACGCGTTTCTTACAATGCACTATGGATAAATATTCTTGATGTAATTACGCTATTGCAAACCGGTACTGATATACGGCATTGTCCTTCATATTGAACATCCTCATCGAAGCTGTAAGCGAAGGACAGCAACGCCTGATAATTGATCATATTGCGTACATATATTGTAATATTAATGCCTTTAACACTGAATTTGAGACAGACTTTTTTTGCTCGATTTAGAAACGGATGCTCTTAATTTTATTATTTCATTGATTAGGCCATAAATCGCTTTATATCAAAAATTTTCAATCCGGCTGATCGCACTACGCATGAATAAAATTATATCGTCGAAATACGAAAGGTAGACAGACATTTATCTTCCTAATTTTGCAATTAATTTATGCTTGTCGGCTTAACAACGAGTAATACTTCAGCTTCGCTGCAATTAGAGGTCGTCAAGAATGCGTTTTGGTCCCGCCAAGAAACGCGGGTTGCGTAAAGTTTGCAGTCAAAGAAAGGCAAGTCAATTCGGGTTGAATCTATTCTGATTTGCAGAGTCATGTATCCTGCCGCATCTTTTCATGTTAATAGCTAATATGATACTCATCATCAAGAGTATCGTAGCCAAACTTCTGAGCGCTTTGAGAGAATCTAACCAATTGAATTGGCGGTTACATCTATAAGGTCTGAAGCGCTAGTAATCATAGGGTCACTAAACTAACTAACTATAAGGCGACCTCAACGCTGCATTGGTGGTGATCCATACAAGCTGTCGCAATCTTTGCTCCTTAAGAACGATTGGATAACAGGACCACAGCACGATATGGAAGCCAGTGCGTCATCCAACTATGTCACAATGTCGTGTACCGTCTGTAGAACGTTAAGCCTTGACCGGATTTAGCTCTAGCATGTAGAATGCTTGGTCAGAGATTGTCATTGAATTGTCTGCCCTTGAGAGCCACGTGACCATAGATTCACACGACTTTCCAATGCATGATGCTGTTATTGCGCTTGGTGTGATTTACACACGCGACGTCTTCCGTAATGCATAAACTTGTCCTACTTTTCTTGTCCCGAGTGGGGCTAATATCTCTACCGCTTGTTCTTTAGATGACTCGTGTTTTGTTTAAATTTGATTCTCGACGGAGCTCAGCTTGTAGATATTTCAGTGGGTTTCCTTCCGCATTGAGATATACAGCAGTTTCTACGTAGGGGACTCATCTCTACCTGATTTTATTCGGTATTTTACTTACTCTACAATGACTAGAAGACACGTTCGGAAGCAAGTAGAAACCTCATGCAGACTTGATTAAGTAAAAACCTCAAACAAGTAAAAACCTATGTGGGTGCTGCTAAAGACTGTAATTGAAGGTAAATCACTTCACCAACAGCGTTATTATCATACGCTTTAACCAAGGCATCCACTTTACATTGATTCATTCAGTTATAGAATTGCGTCATCGTTTTACCTCGTATGTGATTGACTGGACTGCTCTTCGAGTTTAGTCTAGTTTTTTTTCATTTCAATAAGTTTAAAGTTATTTGGACAAAAATGAATGGTGAGAATTTCATTTATAGGATAAAATTGAAAGAGATTTTGAGAAAATGCTGTAGTTGAATCATTTTTTTTCTGTAACCGTACGTGTTTACCAATTTAGCCTTCATTGTAATTAGTTCGACATGATCTAGTCCGACATGATCTAAATTGATAGCCATGAACTGTAAACAAATAGAGCAATAACTGTTAGATTGCCATTTTCGAGTCCTTTCTCCTA